TGGTCATGGTGGTTCTCAGGCTTTTGCAGAGCTAAAGTCTTTCATCGAAGGTCATTTAAAAATGATATGAAGAGGGCCAACGACGAAGCCATCACCAAAGCAGTTAAGAGGTTCAGGGGGGAACAGAGGACGAAGCACGTGTTCAAGTCCAAAGGAAATGAAGAACAGTACGGTAATCAAGAAAATATTGAGTCTGGTAATTGGAGAGAGGTGAAGGCATCGCTGGAAGAAGGTAAGGCAATTATTGCCACAAGAAAAAAGCATATCATTCTAGCGGATATACACGGATGGGATTTTGTCTCTGAATATAAGGACATTCCTATTGCAGAGGACGACTGTCATGAAAAGCGTATTAGAAAGGTTTTGAAAACTGTAGAGTCTAAACGGGAGAAGAGAAAGGCTGAGAAAGCCAAAAAGGCCATCGTGCAGAAATTTTAATGCGCGTAATAGCGTTAGTATTGGGCCTAATAATAATAATAATAATAATAATAATAATAATAATAATAATAATATGTCTTCTTCTTTCCCCTGGAGTGTCGGGTGTTATCTATGCGGAAAGACAGGACATTTTTGGAGGACTTGTCTCCTCAACATACCAAGACAACACAGCTCAGCAGTTAGYGGACGACAATTGGTTCCCATCCAGTCAGCTACAGTCATGCCTACTCCACCCAAACCTAACTAATGATATTTATTCTGACGTTGTTAACTTTGTCGATTATGAATTAGCAGACTTTGTGCAGTTTTCACAAAATTCAGTACAAGGCAGAATTGCGTCTAATAAGAGCTGGTGGATTGATAATTTAAATTTGTCTTCATTTGCATACGGTGTTTTAAGTAGGGACTATTGTATTCYATTTGTGTTTTTGCCTCCGCCTTGTTTAATCAAGAATAATAAAAGTGCTTTGAACCATGATGAGTTCGTTAGGGGCGCCATTAGCGAGCTATTGATGAATAGGTGCGTCGCTGAAGTTGCTGTTCCGCCTTATTGCTGTAACCCTTTGTCAGTGGTTGAAGGCCGTAAATTACGGTTAGTTTTGGATCTTAGCAGGTCACTGAATCCTTTTGTACAACGATTCAAGTTTAAGTATGAAGAGCTTGCAACATTGTCTTCTATGATAGGTAGAAACGATTGGTTTTTTACTTTTGATATAGAGTCTGGTTACCACCACATTGATATTAATTGTGATTATTGGAAGTTTTTAGGGTTTTCTTGGTGTTTTTCAGGTGTGACGAAATATTTTGTTTTGAAAGTGCTGCCATTTGGCCTGTCTTCAGYTTGTTATTTGTTTACGWGGATGTTTAGGCCTCTTGTTTATCGTTGGAGGTCATTTGGTGTAATGGCTGTACTTTTCATAGATGATGGTATTTTTGCTTGTAGGACAAGGCAAGAAGCGCTGAAAGCTAGTCGTCTGGTTAAAGACAATTCGAGTCATTCTGGTTGGAAGTTCARTGTAAAGAAAAGCAATTGGGAACCTCGCCAGTTGGGTGAGTGGCTGGGTGTTATTATTAATACGATTCAAATGTTATTTGTTATGCCAGAGAAGAAAGTGTCAAAGTTAAAGGCCACTTTGCGTGACCTTTTMACTGATTTTCCTAACCTTCGCGTTAGGAGTGTAGCCAGTGTATGTGGTTTTGTAATTTCATTTACTCCCGCTTTGGGACCGGTAACAAGATTGTTGACAAGACAAATGTATGCCTTTATTCAAGGTAGAATATCTTGGAGCGATATTATGTACGCTAGTATAGGGGTAAAGGAGGAATTGCAATTTTGGTTGCAAAATGTTCAGGCCTTTAAACGGCTATAGTATTTACAGAACCTTGTCATTTAATGCGACTTTGTCATGCGACGCTAGCAGTTCGGGCTACGGCGCGTCCCTTTTAATGGGAAAGGAGCAAAGATTTTGCTCTGGTATGTGGGATGTTGAAGATTGTTGTAAAAGCTCATCGTTTAGAGAGCTTAAGGCCATATTTTTGGCGTTAACAAGTTATTGTAAATTATTGAYGAATTGTAATGTTAAAGTATTTACTGATAATCAAAGTGTCATGCGTATCGCACATTGTGGGAGCGCCCAGTCTYATCTTCAGTCAATGGCGGTTCAGATTTTTAATCTTTGCATGTTATACAAGATTTCGTTTCAGGTTCAGTGGATACCAAGAGACCAAAACCAGCTTGCAGATTATTTATGTCGCATAATAGACCCTGATGATTGGATGTTGAATCCGTCATTGTTCCAATTGATTGTAAATAGGTGGGGTGTCTGTGATGTGGATAGGATGGCCAGCGCTTATAATGCTCAGGTTYCTAGGTTTAACTCGAAATTTTGGTGTCCGGGGAGTGAAGCGGTGGATTGTTTCACCCAAGACTGSGGAGGTAATTGTAATAATTTTGTTTGTCCACCTCCATATTTAGTGGGTGCAGTTGTTAGCCATATGAGGAATTGTAAAGCCAGGGGAGTTTTGGTAGTTCCTGTATGGAGATCAGCGGCTTTTTGGCCCCTGTTATGTATTTATAATGAGTTCGACGTTTTTCAGTTTGCAGATTTCGTCAAGGATTGGTTTTATTTGCGGAAATCCAGTTATATGTTTCTCCCAGGTCCTAGATTTTCGCAGACGTTTTCAAGTAATTCTTCTGTTTTTTCGGGTAGGCCTAAATTTCAAGTTTTAGCTTTGAAAGTGGATTTCTCTCTTTGAATTTAAGTGTGTTTTTGTACATTTCAGATATTTTTCAGAGTGGTTTTTGGAAACAGAAGAATGAATTGAATTCTGTCACGTTGCAGCGTTTAGCTGATTCACTGCCGAGTGTTATCCTGGGTTGCAAGGCGGATTCTACAAATACTTAGTATAATAGAGCGTGGCATGCTTGGAAGTGTTGGGAGAAAGAGAATATGGGGTTTAGTAGTTTTCCAGTGTCCCCATTTACTTTCTGTTTGTATTTGAGAGATAAGTTTGATTCGTGTCGTTCTCCTGCGCCTATTGTGACAGCTGTGTATGGAGTCAGATGGGCTCACAATCTAGCTGGTKTTGAGTCTCCTACAGATAACATTGTGGTTAAACAGTTTTTAGAGGCATCCAAAAGATTACTTGGTAGACCCGTGAGGGCTAAGAAGCCTCTAGAGATACATATAATTACACAAGGGTGAAAAGTTGAATATCGTTGGAACCTCTTTGGCTAGTATAGAACATGTTTTATATTTTTCATTGGATTTTCAGGTCTCTTGCGTTGTGACGAGATCGTGAATATTACTAGAAGAGATGTATGCATCAAGGCTGATCACATGACTGTCTTTTGTTTGAAACGAAAGAACGATCAATACTCCAAGGGTCATACGGCAGTCATTGATAGGTCTGGTAAGATTACCTGTCCCRTTGCCATAACTKAAAAGTTGTTGAAYAAGTTGCCTGTTTSTCCTAATCAGTCATTAGTTTGTAGATTGAAATCAAATGGATCCGCTATGCAGCAGTCTATCAGTTATTCCAGAGTGAGGGAAATATTCCTAGAGACAATGTCAGAGTTTGTTGAGGATCCTAAACTGTACGGTACCCATAGTTTAAAAAAGGGTGGTGCTTCGGCGGCACATAAGGCCGGCGTTGCCGGCGAGTCGTTAGATAGGTTCGCTGGCTGGGAGTCAGCTCGTTCTAAGTTTAGCTATATTAGTGACTCGCATGAGAAATTAAGAGTGTCTAAGGCGATTAATCTTTAAGTTTCTAATTTTGCATGCATTTGTGGTGTGTGCGTTTRTTCTTTTCTTTCTCTTCTCTTTTTTCAGCGGTTCTCGGCTTTGGAGAGTCTCGTGGGTTGTCTGTCCAGCAGGCGCCAAGGCAAAGTCATACYCCAAAAAGTGTGGTTTCGTGGTTTATTGCGTAGAATAGGAATGAATTAATGCTTTCCAACGTAACAGCGTGAGTTGGAAAGCGTATTCATTACGGTTCAAAGCACTTAGTCACATTTAGTGAAATATTTCATGAATTGTATTGTAAATAGAACAATATATGGATTAACAATAACGTATAAAAGATTGATGAAAATATGTTTGTTCACTCTCGCTTGTTGGACGCGTACAACGCGCCAGGATATTCGTGTAACCGAACTTAACCGGATTTAGGGTTGTCAAGTAATATTAGTTAGTATTCYAAGCTGTTTAGCATTATATATGTATGTATATGTATTGGTGTTAGGTTTTCGTATTCTTATCTCGTGCTTTAGCCCTCGAAGCATTGCGTTCGCATCGGACGAGGACTACGTTTTCAGAKGTTTCTCCTCCGGGTTTTTTATCTCTGTTTTTTTCGTAGCGGGCAACGCAAAAGATGATTGTAAATAGTATTTTTTTTCAGTTTAAGGATAAATAAGTGGAAGGATTGTAGAATAATGAAATAAAATCTGGGTTGTCTGTCCAGCAGGTGCCAAGGCAAAGTCATACTCCAAAAAGTGTGGTTGCGTGGTTTATTGCGTAGAATAGGAATGAATGGGCTATTTCATCCTTAGAGCAACCGTGGTTAGACAGACCGACTCTAAGGCTATGAGGTGTTTCACCACCATGTATTTTGGCTTCAACCAAATATTTTCGTAAGCGGGTATTCACCGCGGCACCCAAAAACGGGTTATTACTAATRCGCCTTGCCCGGTCCGTGGCCCTAAATAAATAACCGTGCGACAAATCAATTCCCAGCAAACTGCAGGCCGAGAGATAATATTCAAGCCAGKCAACGGGGCACACACCTTCATCCCGGAAGGTCTCTAAGACAAAAGGGCGGGCTCGATCTCGATTAAGCAGAAACCCTACCCGGCCCTTAAGCAGAAAAACCCTATCCGATCGAAGCCTGCCCAAATCTGCTGCGCGATCCCTGGTAAAGAAATCCGTCACTATAAACGCTGCATCTCGAACCAAAATATATTTGTCCGTGACAGAGAGACCGGTGCTGCTCTTTATACGATCACGAAGGTGGTATACTACCTTACTAAACTTTCCAAAAAATAACGGTATTGCCTGCGAAGACAAAACTCACGCCACAGCCTGCTCCTCTCGTACAAATTTTAAATATTCCTTTACCCAGGGGTGAGCCACAGGATTGGAATCCCCATGTTGTTAAAAATAGCCCTAAGTTTGCCTATCATAGAATCTACAGTTCCTGCAGCCAGGCGAGTTGGGCACCGACAGCCTTCTTTCGGGCATCCATCCAAATGTACCACGGTTCGTCCCGCTTTGTCCTTGTGAATCAGGAATTTGACGACGTCTTCAGTCGTACAGGAAGAAATAGCTTTGGGACAATGATGACGTTGATATGGCCTTTTCTTAAAATTATCAGAGAATTCGTGGAATCTCTCGTCAATTGCTGCGTGCTCCAACGCCGATACTGATCCRTTGCTAGATGGTTTTCATGGAATGACCAGAAGCCTGGCAAAAATTCGCGTCACAATCATTTGGGTAGAGKCAGGCTGAACAACGGCGAGCTGCCTTCCATGGCCTGGAAACCTGGGGAAAAGAAAAAACACTATTCAAAATCGGGCTCACGCAACCCATATTAACAGATGCAGCGGAATGCTAGCAGGTTCCATTGTGACGGACGAGGTGACCAAATGCTTGAATTGTTGTTAGGAAAAAGCAGAGTATCGYTTGCGCCCTTAYGACCAAGTAAAACTACATCTAGGACAAATGATTGCAGCCCACCAAAAAGGCCTCGAACGTATATCCGGGGTGACCAACGTGAACGATCCACRAAAACCCTGATCCAGTATGAAACGCAGCAAGGGACCGATAAGCACAAAGGGTGGGAACACGTAAATATTATGCCCTCCAGGTAGGCTCTGAGCGAACGCGTTGACACCTCTTGAGTCTGGAGTAGGCCAAGGTGTATAGTGCGGCAAGGGMTTTCCATCACCATCTTTTTGACAATTGCTGTCCAAGGACATTAAATCAAATGAGTGTGTTCCAAAATGACGTTCGAACTGCGCCCATACTGCCGGAGCCAGCATACAATCAATAYCAGAACACCTTCTTGAGGGGGCGTCTGCAGGGTTTTCTCTTGAGGGGACATAGAAAGTGTGGATGCTAAAGTTCCACTCCCGATGGCAGCGAAAAATCTCCTTCATCATAGCGTTGACCTCCAAGCTTCTACAGCCTTACCTTTAATAAAGTAATTGATGATACAGTATCTTTCTACCGACAACAACATTGTAATAGTCACACACTAATCTATTAATTAATTATAATATAAAATTAATTAATCTATTACACATGCCAAATAATAATATTTGTACCATGTTCCTCAGTTGCTGATTGTACCGCTTCACAACTTTCTCTCTTTCCTCATCTGTCAAATTCTTTTGCTCTACAACCCTTTCATTGAATTTTGATTTTTCTTCAGCTGTGAGCTTCTTCCATTCTTGTGCTGCATAAGAATTTCTTTCTTTACATTGATCTGCATAGATACAAAGTAAGTTTGTTTTCAGTCCTGTTCATTATTATTTGGACTATCAAATATTCATGTAAAACTTAATAAAGCCTTTTTTCTAAATATTAATAAGACAATTAAGAAACATTCTCTTCATATATAGTGTCCTTCTACAGTTGCATACCATTATTTCTGTTTGAATTTTTACTGTACATGTAATTTATCAATTTACAACCACCTAATTTATGTAAATCAACACTCTTACTGCTTTTAGATAAATCTGTATAAAAATTGTTATAGGCTGTTCGACCTCTCACATAGGTCATCTTTGCTTGAGATGACCTTCTATTCCTACTTTCACTACAAATCCAATTCTGAAATATAAATCACAAATCGTTAAGAACATTTTTAACTCGGAGATTGCGTTAGCAATCGTAGAGTTATTGGGAGGGGACAAGCTGTCACTCGCTCGATCGCTCGATCGCTCGCTCGCTTGCTCGCTCGCTCGATCACTTTCCTGTAAACTTGAGCCTGCGATGTTTTTGTCAGCATTTAATTATATTAATTTGACTTGTTAATTTTTTAATTATTCATCTCCACGGTCTACCTGTTTCTTTTTTTTTCCAAAGAGAAATAAATTTATGTACTCGGTGTGGYTCGAACTCCCGATCTCTCGATCATTCCCCATACATCGCCTTATGTTCCAGCGCCTTAACCGATTGTGCCACGGTGACACTTTGATGAAACTTGGCGTGTTTTAGTAGTTTTATAGGGAGCACCGCTGTTCGAGTCCAGCTGGAGACAGAACATTTTTTTCTTTTTTTCTTTTTGATGTTTTGGAGATTCTCTTTTCTTTTCTCCTTTTTCTAATAATAACAAACATGTTTCTGCATAAAGTTTTGTTTTTAAGAAATTCTTTTAATTTTTGCGATCGGTAAATAAAACAAGGTTCACCATGATGGGTTTTTTCTGTGTTATATGCTGTGGATTCAATCGATATTTGCCGAAAACAACTGACCCATCGCACTACGTTAAAAACCTGGATTCAAGAGGAGAAAATTATTGTAAAAAATTGTAAAAATTATATTGTTTGGCGTAGAATTGTAYCGATTGCAATAAGTTTTGACTGGGTTTTCGCTTCGAGTACCTGTCAACATGGCGTCTCTGCTAAAATGTAGCTTTCACGGCCTTATAAAATAAATAAACTTAAAGCAAATGGACGGTTTCTATTCCGCTTTAAACTTCAAGGTAAGATAATAATGTACAAAGCTTAGTAATGGCATACTTAAATCTTAAGTTTATCATATGAATTACAAATCAAATTTTTTAGGCTGTGTCTACCTGCCCGTGAGTATTCATTGTTTTCAAATAATTAGCTTACGTACCVAGACTAAATCATTAATTTCATCGCTAAACCCAAACCAAACCTTACCCTAAACCTAACCTAGAGCTAACCAAGGACTTTTGTTCAGTAATTCTGYATTTTTTTTTCGCAAACGGACATTTTGACTTCCACTATTTACACGGCAGCCGGGCATGTATTAAAAGTAGACACAGACACTTCGAACTTTATGTCGCCTTTGTTAATTTACATGTAACTTAAGGTGGTAGGAATGGCTAAAATAGGTGTCATTTCACGAAAAATTATTCAATTTGTGTTCAAAGTTTGTCCAATTGTAATATACAGTGGCCTTGTCTATAAAATTTTCTTCAAATTTGCAGGTGAAAAGGTGTGAAAAGTCGCACCTAAGGTGTTAAAATTCCTCAGGTAGCCCAGCCATGCTTTTTGAAAATTACTTAATATCTCGCTAGCTTAGCAATGGAATTACTCCAAACTAGAAAATATAAAAGTACTTTGGATGTTTTATCAAACGCACGCAGCCCGGAATTTTTGTTGTTGTTGTTGCGAAAAAATTGGAACGTCAAGGAAAACACGAACAAATCTTTAACCAAATAGTTGTTTKYTCCGGGCTGCGTGGAGTTTAATTCTGGAAGGATAATACAACTTTCAGCCAAATTTGATGGCAATATTGYTAATAGAAAGCAATATAATGAATAAAATGTCATTAAAAGTACCATTTTTGGCAGAAAACGCTTATAACTCTTTGAGTTTTCAATCAAACGCAATATCCCGTCGCCATATTGTTTCTTAAATCTTATTACGTCATGTAGTACGGATTTATATCGATTTTCTATTGATTTTCCTTTYAAAATCCTTCGTAATCTATGTGAGATTTTTCTCAGATTTCAAGGCGACGATTGAAATTTCCCATCGTAGTTACAAGAAATCCGTGCCTTTTTACAGTAGTTC